TGTTTGAGTAATTAAATAGTTATCAATTACGACGGATAATTTGTAGTTGAGTCTTGTCAAGAACCCTTTCCTTCCCTTCCCTTTTGTGATTATTATAAATAAATTCTGATGGAGGTTACATCTAAGATCACAATTACGTCTGTCAACAGATTGAGTTTCACTTTTCCAAATCTAAATTTGATTTCACAATTCAACGGGAATCAGATCTGATAATCCGATGATTGCATTTTCGTGGTTCCATATTTGAATCCGTTAACAATTCNTCTGATAAAAATATTAATTAATTTGAAATAAAAAATAAATTTTTTACACGTTGAAAAAAATGAGGTTGTTTGAGTAATTAAATAGTTATCAATTACGACGGATAATTTGTAGTTGAGTCTTGTCAAGAACCCTTTCCTTCCCTGCCCTTTTGCGATTATTATAAATAAATTCTGATGGAGGTTACATCTAAGATCACAATTACGTTTGTCAACAGATTGAGTTTCACTTTTTCAAATCTAAATTTGATTTCACAATTCAACGGGAATCAGATCTGATAATCCGATGATTGTATTTTCGTGGTTCCATATTTGAATCCGTTAACAATTCAAAAATCGGACTCGAATAACTTAATTAACTAAATGTTAACAAATTATACTTAAATTTCAACTAAATTTCTTTAAATAATCAATTAATTTTTTAAAAATATATATAAATAATTCGAAGTGGGTTATTATTCGAATCAAATTTAGGCATATTCAAATTCAAATCTGTAAAATATAATATATCGGATCGGATTTGATTTGATTTGATTTGATTTGATTCAATTTTAGAAAAATATCGTTAAAATATATTAATTTATATTCAACCAATTGGATTCGAATTCGGATTAAAATCCGATCCACCGACAAACCTAATCACAATTCTCCCATTATAAAGCTGAGCACACATGATCATAATAAAAAAAATTTAATATTTGAATAATTTACATAATCATTGAATGAAAAAGATTCATTTTAACCCGACGCCGACGCACAGAAAAAATGATTTCTTCTTCTGACTTTCCCTTTTCCTTCGTTGCTTCAAATGTTGCCTTTCAAGACTGTTTCTTTATGGGATACAGTGAGTGATCTCAATAAACAAAACAAATGGAGTTGCTTTATTCTTAAAATTTATAATTTAAAATAAATAGCAATAAACATTTTTATAGGGATCAGATCAGAGGTGGGAGGCACGTGAGGCTTCTTTTCGAGCGTGCAAAAAGCATATGAAAAAAAAATACTTCATTAACCAAAAAGAAAAATCTTTCAGTTGTAAATTGATTTTTACACTTAAAAAGTTTACATCTATTTTCATTTTAATGATTAAATTTTTTGATCATTTTCAGTTTCTGATTTTGGATGATTTTTTTTTAATATTCCAAACTCTGTTGTCTCTCATAAAGTGAGTCTATTCTAATAAATCGGAACGATATATTATTAAATCCCAATCCCTAGTTAAGGAATTTTGGACAAATAAGATCACTCGACACTATGCAAAAAAATTGTTATATGCGCATAGATTTGACTATTGTTAGGCCCGATAATTACATAAAATTTTGTGAGTTCGAACTAAATTTGTCAAGCTCATATTTTTAAATAAGTTTAAAAAATTATTAAAGTTCAATTTATTTAAAAATAAGTTGAGTCCAAACTTAGCCCAAAATAAATTGAGATCGAGTAGCTCGAATATTTTATATATAAATGAGTCAAGTTTTACGAGTTTGAGTTGAACTTAAAAAATTATTCAAGCTTAAATCGTTTAAAAACAAGAAGAGTCTGAATCAAATCCAAAAATGAGCTGACTCCAAAAAGTTCAGCTCGATTATCAGCCTCAGTTATGGTTGTTAATTGAATGATAACAACAATTATGGATTTGGATTAAATTGGAAATATTTTAAAAAGTTGAAGGATGAAATGGAGGGGGAAATAGGGGTAAATTAGAAATCGGGTATAACTTTGGGGGAGGAAACTTTAATTCGTCCTAAGAACATGGTTTTACGCACTCGTATGTGTATTGGACCGTAGTCTATTATATATGTTATCGAATCCCTATGTGACACAGCGACCAGCGCAACTGTGCACCGACGGGCAGCGACGGAAAAAATGTCAAAGCAAAGAACATAAATAAACGGGGTCCACTTATCATGCGCACATCGCTTTTTTATAATGTTGGTCTGGAATTAAGAAACCGCCTTCCTACTTTAGTACATTATTTTTCAAACAAACTGGTCCCCCATTCCTCAACTAGCGGTATTACCAAGTTGTCCTTAGTGTACTCAACAACTCCGACACTGCCATTTTGATTAATTTTAGTAAGAAAATTTTATTTGCATTTAAAAATCTGACATAATTTGTTGACTTAATGACGTGGCTTAATTGAAACTATTAGATTAACACCAAATTTTAATGTTTGATGGAGTCCACAGTCAATCCAAAAGTCATAGTAAATTAGGTTTCAATAACATTGCTCTTTTTAGTAAGATAGAAAAGTGTCATGATGAAAAAAACATAGATGAATACTTTATTATTATATCTATGTATAAAGTTAATGCATACGTAATATGTAATAAATAAATATGATATATGCATAAATTAAATAATATACAAGTAAATAGCATACATTTCATAACATATAATTAACTTTTCATCTACTTTTTATTTCAATTTTGGAGGAATTGATTTTAGTGAGTTATAATGAAAATTGATTCATCTATTTTTTCATATTTTTCTATTTTCATTATTTATCAAATATGATGTTTTATTTATCTCTTCAACTTTTTATCATTTCCAATTTTTTATCATTCCACTTTTTATTGCACCAAACAAAACATTAGGATTGATAAAATGGTACGAAATCAATACAAAATTTTTTGGGAGAAAGGTTATTTGGTATAAACTAAACCTTAACAAGTTAGGTTATTATTGAAGAAACGATTAGATATGTTTGACCGGTTAATTAACATGTACTATATAATATAAGATACGTGTCCAATTATGTATAGGTTCATCCTAAATAGTATTAAACACGATATATAACTAAGTATACAAAACGATAAAATGCTACTTTACGGGCATTTCTTATAGATTTATTACAATAATTGGAGTTTTTAATCTCCTTTAATTGATTTTCTCAAAGAACTGTAAGATTTTAATTACACGAAATAATTTTCGACAATTAATGAGATAACAACATTTGGATGATCGTCACCACTATTCCTACAATACCAAATAGAGTTAGGAAAGGCTGAATGATTTTTGACAATTAATGAGATAACGATACTTGGATGATCTTCACCGTGATTCCTGCAATACCAAAGAGGGTTAGGAAAGGCCCTAACTGATTTTTTGGCATATCCCCCCCCTATGTTGAGCCAATTGGAATNCAATACCAAAGAGGGTTAGGAAAGGCCCTAACTGATTTTTTGGCATATCCCCCCCCCTATGTTGAGCCAATTGGAATGTGTGTGTGAGAGAGAGAGAGAAAATAATATAAGAGCTACTATGTAGTGTTTAGTGTTGGTTGCATGCCTCAGGCGCAAACCTTGGGCTATTTTATCTTGAGGGATGATGACGTGATTTGTTCAGAATAACTATCCTGTCGACAAGCAATCTTTTTAGAGTAAAATTCTCTCATTGATCCACATGTATAATGAAATAGTCATATCAATGGTTGTCTTGTCAAAAAAATTCGTCATATCGTCATAGGATTGCAATAGGATATATGGCATATAGCCGGTTGTGGTCAAATTTCAAATGATGATTTTAGTTGAGTTAAGTATTTGATGAATGACACTCTTCGAAATATCACTCGATTAGTCAACGTGTGCGAGAGTTATGCACCTTTGTCGATATTCATGGCATTACGTGTTGATTTCCATGCGAAAACATCGGCGTAGCCTACATTATTTGCCCTTATTATATCATTTGACTAGGTTGACATTAGCAAGTCCCAACATTGTTAGGGGCAAAAGGATGTCCTTGGGCTCAATAATCCTTCTTCCCCCCCCCCCCAATGTCTCCAAGTGTTGGATGAGTAAGTTGTACACCTGAGTTCCATCCGGGGGGTAACGTGTGAGGGGTAGGTCAATTATCATCTAATTACAAGCTAGATGACTTATGTCTCACTAGTAATATAAATGAGTTATTATTCGTTATTATCCAAAAATCGTTTTAATCTTGCATTTTTTATTTTTTGGAATTTGTTGCTATTGCATAACTAAGAAATATTTACAAAGACGCACGAACCATACAATTCCTATCAACCAAGACTTTTTTGTGAGAATTGAGCTTGGTACCTCTAGTTGTCAATTGCCAAGACTAAACCATATGAGCTACCCATTAAAAGTAGAACACAAAAATAGTATCATTGTAAAAAGAAGTAGGATTGGTATAGATAAGCACAAGATGGAAGAAAAAGATAAAGACAAAGCAACATTAATACAGATGAAACTATCATTAAATATTCACAGTTAAAATTGTATCATATCATTTATTTCACAAAATTTTGGCATAAACATTTGATATATCAGACTTTAACTAGATGAGTTGCGATCTAAGAATGATAATTTTCAATACGAGAAGTCTATCATAAAATTAGTGAGTTAGATTTAATTGGTTATTTATATAAATTAAAAAATAACACAACTTACTATAAGAAATTTAAATGACCGGATTCGGACACGAATTTAAAATAATAGGACTCAAAAACAAAGAGATTGCATTCGATTTCCAACCCTGCATTATGCTAGATTTGTAGGGTGAGAGAGAGAGGGGCACAGCCATGGCAGGAGATTTTGTTTGGGAAAGGTCACATTGATATGAGGAGGAAGGCATTTAAAGGAGGACAATGGGCCAAAAAACAGAGGGAAGGCCGCGTAAATGCGCCGAACTACATGTAAATCGCTAATCTACGCCTACAGTGGTCATAGTAAAGAAACGAAGAAAGAAAAAGGCAGCACCACCCAACCCAATACCATCCATTTTTCGATTTGCGAGCAAATGAGCTCTTCTTCTTCTTCTTCTTTTTCATTCTCAACCCCACAACCACCCACCACTCCTATTCTTTAACTTACCTCTCAGACACATCACTGTCCATCTCTCTCTCTCTCTCCCTCCCCGTCTCTGAAATTCTCTCTCCTACTCCACCTTCTGTCTTTAAAACCTCCAAGATATCAGTTGCCATCTTTTTTTTGTACAAAGACAGTGTGTGTGAGAGAGCTAGCCTTCTTCTGTGAATCTGTAGTTTCTGGAAAGCTTGTTTTGAGAGAGAGAGAGAGAGAGGCTTCTTTGGATTCGAGTTTTAATACGTCTATATTCTTGTATATATTGGACTTGGAGTGGAGCTCTCGATTCGTTTGCTTGTAAAGACTTTGTTGGCGAACTGTTCGATGAAGGACGAGTTAACAAGTTCTTGATATAAACCTGGGGCTGAGCTACAGTTTCATCTGCTCGAGCCGCTGGTTCGGACACACAGAAAGAAAGCTGAAAGACAGGTTTAAAGAGGACAGAGAGGGCAGTGTGTTTCTGTGAGGAAAGGGTTAGAAAATTTCAGGCTGTTATAGTTGAGAAGAGAAGGTATTTTCTTGTTTATTGGAAGTTTCGGAGGAAAATCAGATCGTGGAAGCTTGAAGCAGCTTCATCAACAAGCTGTTTACAGCTTTCATCGAACAAAGATGGAGGTTTCGGATAAAAGAAAACAGAGGACTTTTGTCTGCATATTACCATAATTTCCGTTGGGCTAATTTGGCTTTACCTTCCTTTATAAGGTAAGAGAGCCCTTAAAAGTGTGTGAACAGAGAGAGGCAGAGGGAGCCTCAAAAGTGAAAACCCCAAGAATCTTCCACCTAAATCAAGTCCGTCCGTTTAATCTTGGGGCATCACAAGGAACAGACTTTGGTTAAAGAGAATCGTAGTTGCTATATATCTCTGTTGGGTTTTCATTATCTTTGGCTTGGTGGGTTTTCGAATTTGAGTGGGGAAAATGGCGATGGTTGCACATCAGCACAGAGAGAGTAGCAGTGGTAGCATCAGCAAGCATCTTGACGCCGGAAAATATGTCCGGTACACCGCCGAGCAGATTGAGGCTTTGGAAAGGGTCTATGCAGAGTGTCCCAAGCCCAGTTCTTTGCGGCGCCAGCAATTGATTCGGGAATGTCCTATCTTGTCTAACATTGAACCCAGGCAGATCAAAGTCTGGTTTCAGAATCGCAGGTAAAAGGAGAAAGATGTTTTCATTTGGGTTTTTCTTTCTTTTTTACTTGCTTTTGGTAAGTGTATCCACTTACATGCAAGGTTTTAATGGCTATTCTTTCTTTTAATCTTTGAGTTAGATGCATCAATTCATTTATAATTTGAGATTCTTGGGTTTCCTTGAAATTTCGCATTACTGCATAAAAGGGCGTAATGGCTCCCGCCAGTGATGGTTGGAGAGGGGTAGATGTATGCAGCATTATTACCTTTACCTCTGCAGGCAGGGAGAATGTTTCCACAACTGCATGTGGGCTCTAAAATGTAGGAAAATGATTTATGTGTTTTGTATGTTCTGGGCAGAACAGATGGATAAAAAAGAGTGTTGTTTGCCTATGCAGATGTCGAGAGAAGCAGCGAAAAGAGGCTTCCCGACTTCAGACTGTGAACAGAAAATTGACTGCGATGAACAAGCTTTTGATGGAGGAGAATGATCGCCTGCAAAAACAGGTGTCACAGCTTGTATGCGAAAATGGGTATATGCGGCAACAACTGCAAAGTGTATGTCGGATTTTTTATGTTAATAACTTGCTATTAGTCGTTATTTCTTTGATAAGAACAAATACCACCTTGCAGTTTTCTGATTAGAAGAGTATTACATCCAATTCCCATCCGATAGAATGACATTTTAGTTTCCTCATACAGTTTACATGTCTTGACAAAGTTAATACTCCATAATGAATTCTATGCAGGCATCAGCAGCTACAGATGCAAGCTGTGAGTCTGTGGTGACCACTCCTCAGCATGCTATGAGAGATGCTAATAACCCTGCTGGGTAAATATGAACACAAATTGCATGATCTCTCTTGCTATCCTCACTCTCTATTTTGTTTTGAGCTATATATCTTTTCTACTTTTGGCAGACTCCTCTCCATTGCAGAGCAGACCTTAGCAGAGTTCCTTTCAAAGGCCACAGGAACTGCTGTGGATTGGGTACAGATGCCTGGGATGAAGGTAATTTTCTCATTTTTGAATCAGTTATTCCGTTGATATGCATTTTGTTTGCAGGGAATGAATGGTTCTATGAATTTGCAAAACTGAAGTGGTCCTGGTATTATTTAATTTTGTTTTCAGCCTGGTCCGGATTCGGTTGGGATCTTTGCTATTTCACGTAGTTGCAGTGGAGTGGCAGCTCGAGCCTGCGGTCTTGTTAGTTTAGAGCCTACAAAGGTACGCTTTGACATTTTCTTTTTGTCATGTTGGATTCCTCCCCCCCTCCCCCCAAAAAAAAAAACACCTCTTCCTCTTCTTTTCTGGAAGGTTACTTTATCTTGTGCTAAAATTTTGCGTGCTGTCTGAAAATCATTTTTTCAAACTTTGACAGATTGTGGAGATCCTGAAAGATCGTCCATCTTGGTTTCGGGACTGTCGGAGCCTTGAAGTTTTCACAATGTGTCCTACTGGAAATGGAGGAACTATAGAACTTGTATACACACAGGTGAACATGAAATGTTTGAGCTGCTAACATTCTTCTTATGTTCTCTATGTGAATTTGCATTGTAGAAAGATGAATAAATATACAATTTGCTTCAGATATATGCTCCAACTACACTTGCTCCTGCACGGGATTTCTGGACTCTAAGATACACAACAACTCTAGACAATGGCAGTCTTGTGGTATGAATATTCTGAAACTTACTCATCCAATGGATTTGTATCATTTACTTGTTAAGAATAATAGTGACATTGATGCATGAGACTTTTAGTGAAAGGTGGCTCTATTTAGTTGAGGCCGCCTCATATTCCAAAGCAAACAGGCTCAAACGAAAAATTGGTGGTTTATTGTGAGCTCATTTTAATTGAACAATGCATTCAAGACCATTTTTGTTGTTCACCCTTTATGCTCTTATAAACATCTCTAACATCGCCCTCTCCTCTTGCCCTTCACCCAGGTTCAAATTCCCCACCCCCCAACCCTTTATTCACCAAACCAGAGAAATGAGTGAAAATGTAAATTATAGGTTTAACATGCATATTCGAACTGTCATGCTGTCTTGCCAATGAGTAACTTTCTTGCTCCAATTGGACATAAGTTTTTATTTAAATACCTTTTGCTGTGGGTTTGTTTTACTTATTTCTGATTATGCTTGGGACCAGTGGTTGCATTTTGGTGTCTTGGGCTTCTCTAAGATATTATGTTAATTTTTCGACAGGTAATATTGATTCTTTATTTGCCGTGAATGTTTCTAGGTGTGTGAGAGATCTCTGTCTGGTTCTGGTGCTGGCCCAAATGCAGCTGCATCTTCTCAATTTGTCAGGGCTGAAATGCTTCCAAGTGGCTATTTGATTCGGCCATATGAGGGTGGAGGGTCAATTATTCATATAGTTGATCACCTGAATCTTGAGGTTAAACTTGCAGACTTACTTGTTCAATCTTTCTTGCCTGGGAAACTTTTTCATTTAGTGATTTCATCGTTTTATAGGCTTGGAGTGTGCCTGAGGTGTTGCGACCACTTTATGAATCCTCAAAAGTTGTAGCGCAGAAGATGACTATCGCAGTGAGTGAAAAACCCTTTTCTTTTTGTTTTCTCCTTTATTGGAATTGAGGCTTGGTTAAGATCTCGCTCATGTGCAAGATGGGGATTTGGCTATTGTATTTGATTACCTAAGCAAGAGAACATATACTGTGGACATAACGTCCTCTGTCCTTGAGGCAGACTCTATCCCATTGCACTGCCAATTCCATTTCCTAGTTCATGCTATGGTTCCATGTGGGAATCACCGTGATATTATGTTTGTTGCTCTGTTCTGCATGAGCTCGTACTCTTATCTTTCTCATTTTGAAGAAAATCTCATTCTTTAGTCCTTGCTTCTTAATTAAGTGGTTTCTAACCACTACTCTCCCTCATCCCAACTGTACGTTAAAACACGCATTGATTTGATTGTTGGATGAGACAGCTCGTTGGCTTCTTTTCTACAGGTCCATATCATAGAATCCCAAAAAAAAAAAAAAAAAAAAAACCCCCCCCTACTTTCATTAAGAGAAAAAAAAAAAAAAAAAGAGAATGGGAATGATTTAGATTTTTTTGTTTGAAGGCACTGCGCTATGTCAGACAAATAGCTCAGGAGACAAGTGGTGAGGTGGTATATGGTCTGGGCAGGCAACCAGCTGTTCTGCGAACTTTTAGCCAAAAATTGAGCAGGTAGTTTCATGCTTATTTTGTCCTACCATTATGTTGGCTGCATATGAAGTTCTGTGCATGTACAAGATCTTATTTGTACTGCTTGTGTATATGGTATGCGCAGCATGTACTGCGTACTTATAGTTATTTTTCTTATGTATATAAATTTTTGCAGAGGGTTCAATGATGCTATCAATGGATTTAATGATGATGGATGGTCATTGATGAACTCTGATGGTGCTGAAGATGTAATAGTTGCCGTTAATTCGACCAAAAATCTGTGCACCACTTCTAATACACTTTCCTTGCTTGGAGGTATTCTATGTGCAAAGGCATCCATGCTACTCCAGGTGAATTATGAAGTTTGTATCATCAATGTGTGGTCGGTTTGACTCTATTGTAGCTAATGACATTTCTTTTGTGCTGACTATTTATCAAAAGTTTTTTTTTGTATTTCTTTTGGTTGCTCTGTCTGTGCTTTCAAAGCACATACCGTTTGTATTGATAATTTAATCAGTTTGTGTCAAGCTATCAATTGGAAATAATTGGTGGCTATTACCAAATAGTGTAACTCAAATTATTCACAGTACTGTGTCTTCTCAAGGATCTTTCCCTGATTTCTGGTGCTTAAGTGAAAGTCTAACTTTTACTACTGATTGTAAAGAAATTGGTCAATAATTGGTGGTTCAGAATCTAGGCTGATTTTCGCTAAGAATCACTCAATTTTACATATCTGCTGGTGTATTGATAACTCTATTAACCTATTCTGAGTTTTTAGTTTGTACAATTGGAATCTCATTTTTTTGGGCTGCTTGATTTATTGTTTCTGTACAAGCAATCCTCCATATTTACAGACTGGTAGCTGGATAAATAATGGGCTTGTCTGTTTCCTTCTGGCTGCCAGAATGTCCCACCGGCAGTGCTGGTTCGGTTTCTAAGGGAGCACCGCTCAGAGTGGGCCGATTTCAATGTTGATGCCTATTCTGCTGCAACTTTGAAAGCTAGCTCATATGCATACCCAGGAATGAGACCAACCAGGTTTACTGGAAGCCAAATCATAATGCCACTTGGTCACACAATTGAACATGAAGAGGTATGCTTGTGTCAGTAGTGGTCTCTTATCCTCGTTTCCTCCTCCTATGTAAACAACAGTCTGTCATAAGTGGACAATGCGTACTGATATTGATGAAATCTCTATAAATAAAGAGGGCCAATAAGTCTACATGGTTTCTTACCAATGAAAAAATATTTAATGCCTACCTTATATATCTTCTTTTTTCCTAAATTTTTGAGAACATTTATCCGACTTCTTGCTTTTACTTGATGAACCTTTTCTAAAAGAGAAGAATATTCAAGTTTACAATGATCAAACAGTGCACGAAATGCTAATTTTGCAATCTGACAACATCCAGTGCAAACTCTCTCTCTCTCTCTCTCTCTCTCTCTCTCTCTTTCTCATACCAGATGCTTGAAGTAATTCGGCTTGAAGGCCATTCTCTCGGCCAAGAAGATGGTTTTATGTCAAGGGACATTCATCTCCTTCAGGTAGGTGCATTCCTAAAAGTTTTGATGTTTCTTCCATAGAAGGAAAAAAATAGATATGTGGTTCACCGTCCGCCTATGGATACTGAATTTAGGATACTCAATGAGAATTGTCCCATTTTGTAGATGTGTAGTGGTGTTGATGAGCACGCTGTGGGAGCCTGCTCTGAACTTGTTTTTGCTCCAATCGATGAAATGTTTCCAGATGATGCTCCACTGCTACCCTCGGGTTTCCGCATCATTCCATTGGATTCAAAATCAGTTGAGTTAAACATTCTACACCTGAATCTCGATTATTTTTGTTGTTGAAAATCTTGTTGATTGAGTTTTGCAGTAGCAAGTGGCAAACCCATTTGTTTAGGGAAATTAAAGACTGGTTTCCCAATTTGAACTGGGGCAGGGTTTTGTTATTTGTTTGTTAAATCAAAATGCTTTTAATACACCCCCACACATCCAGAGTAAATAAGTTAATGGAACCTAAATAGTGTGCTTTTACAAACCCAATATTGGCTTGGTTGCGAAGAATGCATCCTTGTTCTATTCAAAAGTTCATGAGTACTAAAAAATAAGAAATGGTCAATCTGTGGCAGCAAATCTTGTAGTTTGTTAGAGATAATGGGCTTAGGCTCAAATTCTACCTATTCCGGTTCTTCTTTTTGGTGATTGGTTTGTGGCAACGTGAGTAAGCTTCTCCCTGTAATCATTGTTTGAGCATCCAACTCAAAATCAATTGGCAATGGGTGGAGTAGCCCCCAAGTATATAACTAATCTTGGTGATTCTAATTATTTGATGTGGTATACAAGCTCTCTTAACACCCTTGCTCATGTGGGATCCGAGCTCCAACGTGGGGTTAATAAACAAACAAACAACCATGCATACCGAGTAATTCAAATGAGTAAGAAACTTGGCTTACTAACTACTTAAGCCCAGCTTTGATATCATGTAAGAGCATTCAACTTAAAACCAATTGGCAATGAGTGAAGTGTTCGCTCAACTATATAAACCAATCTTGGTGGTCCTAATTATTTGTTGTAGCATACAAGCTCTCTTAACAATCATAAACAGAACGACATTGTATCAGCCCAAATACGTTTTAGAACACAAGTGGATATTCAATACTGATTTGACCAATCTTGTAGTTATCGTAAAATCTTGGGTGTGACAACTGATGAACTTGTTTGTTCAGGGTGATACACAGGATATATTGACTACACATCGTACCCTGGATCTGACCTCCAGTCTTGAAGTAGGCCCAGCAACAAACCATGCTGCTGGAGAGGCGTCCTCGTGTTCTATAACACGATCAGTGTTGACTATTGCTTTCCAGTTCCCTTTTGAGAACAATCTACAGGATAATGTGGCTGTAATGGCTCGCCAGTATGTCCGTAGTGTAATTTCCTCAGTGCAGAGGGTTGCCTTGGCCATCTCTCCATCAGGATTGAGCCCTACTGTTGGACCAAAGCTATCTCCGGGCTCTCCAGAAGCTCTGACACTAGCTCACTGGATCTGCCAGAGCTATAGGCAAGTTCCACTTATGTTTCTTTTGCTTCATACTTCATCTAGTTGCAAGCACAATGCTCGTCTTCAAACCACGGGGTATCATTTTTTTCCCTGCAAATTAGTTGATTGCAGGTTCATCCTTGCCTTATGAACACATGAAGCGGTTAGGCTAGTGAAATTCTCAACTATTTTCAGCAAACGTATTGTTTCACATCATTTTGTTGCACCACTTGATTTTGCTGCACCCATCTTGCCCCCTTTTCCTCATATTTTCTGAATTGTTTTCTGTACTAAAAAATTATTTTCTGTACTCTCAGTAACCATTTAGGGGCAGAATTGCTGAGACCTGATTCTCTGGAAGGTGAAACGGTGTTGAAAAATCTCTGGCACCATCAGGATGCTATTTTGTGCTGCTCATTGAAGGTATGAAACTCACCTTTTTTCCACGCCAAACAGATGCATCTAATTTTGGTTTTGGATTTCTAGAAATCCTTGGGTTGTTGCCTTCTTATTATAATAGCATGTATTTTTGCCCCCAACCCTCCCAATGACACCACAAAACAATTCATGAGCTACTCTTTCAATTATAGAGGTTAAAAGTGTTCAGAGACTTTCATGAATGGTCCCCATCATATCTGTAAGTTGCATTCGCCTATATGTCTACCATGATTATCATGCCTCACGTCTCCTCATGCTTTATGCCTAAATTTCTGTTTGTTCTGTACCTGTGACTTTTTTCAACTGCACAGAGCCGATTTTCCTATTGAAGAACCATGACAAAATTTACAGGGAGAAACACAGACCACATCTCATCTCTCCTATGCTGAATTGCTACGCAGCCTGTACTATCTAATGAGATAAATAATAAATGAATTCTTGAATTTAACATATACGTGTTCAATTCTTAACTTTAATGATGGTAGTATTGCACTGTGCATCTGAGGCTTGCAATCTTTCTTATTTTACACAATATGGTTTGTTAGGCTCCTTTTGAATTTCAGATAATTGACAATGGTGTATTTTTTTGGTGTTTCAGTCGCTTCCAGTTTTTATTTTCGCAAACCAGGCTGGGCTGGACATGCTGGAGACAACTCTAGTGGCTTTACAGGATATCACATTGGATAAGATATTTGATGATTCTGGGCACAAGGGATTATTTTCAGAATTTGCAAAGATAATGCAACAGGTACTTCTACATGGGGAAAAACATAATCTGTGCTATCAACTTCCTTATCCTTCTATGCATGATAAGCCTCTTGTTTTCAATGAAGAGTCACGTGATTGGTATTTTAGTACAGATCAGAGTTTAGTGTTATGACTTGTGAGCTTGCACATTCCTCTTGAACACACTTTTCCGAAACAGTTTGAAATTCCTAAACCTTCAAACACTCTGAAAGTTGTAAATGTTATCAGCAACATTACGACTTTCACAGTCACTTTGACATATTGGACGGAGCTTATTGTGTTGTAAATGGCATTATGTTAGTCGACCAATGAATTCCATTAACTGAACTTATTAACATTGGGACATCCCAAGAAAAATTGTGTAATTTTGATCTCTTTTTTCGAGCTACAAATAAATAGTTGTGTGCATTCTTATTAGGGTTACGCATACTTGCCTGGTGGAATCTGCATGTCAACAATGGGACGCCACGTCTCATATGAACAAGCGATCGTGTGGAAAGTCCTTGCTCCAGAAGAAAATACTGTCCATTGCCTCGCCTTCTCATTCGTTAACTGGTCTTTTGTGTGAATGATGTGTATTTATTGTGACCAACACCTGGTTTTCTGCAGTAGAATAGTGAAAAAGCCCAAAAGAAAGGGAAAAAAGGTGGTGGGAAATGAAGGAAAATGGAAATTTTGTAATATTTAAACCCAGCTAAGTTTGCATTGTCTTACTTTAATTCAAAATCTGTCGGGTGCTATCAAATTTTTGGTTCATTAATGTAAATTTTGTTGATGAAGCTTATTTGTAGAGAGTATTTTACCGACCCTCGGAAGTACATGCTAATTGACTTACTTAACGAATCACTACAATTGAATAAGTAGCAGGGTTTTATAAATATTGAGATTATTAAATTAATGACAAATTTAACTATCACATTATCAAGTCAAATTTGACATTTCGTAGGATCCCGGTGCGGTTCTATCTCAATGGCATAGTGATCTTAACAACGTCTTGACTTGCTCCGAGCCATCAAAACAAACTTTATTAAAAGGGTAATGGGCCTATGCAACGTTCCTTCACATTGATGCAAAACTCTATTTATTCATACGGCTGTTTGAATGGTCAGTGGCATCTTCTACATTTCCAGTCCATGGCTTATTATAGTATCTGCAAGCTTGTTGCTAACAAAAACAAGAGAATGTTGCACTTTCCAGAAGGAAAACTCGAATCAGAAATATTATGGAAAACCAAAATCAACAAGTTTGTACATTCGGACAATATTTAGGCCTAAATATACAAAGACTTTATATATGCACAAGGTGACATCAATTCAAGGAAGTTCTGAATTTTGACATTGTAGAGTAAAACAGGCAGCAAGTCGACAAGATCACATAAACAAAGAATACCCTTTAGATAGAATTCCAACGTACAGTGTTGCTTATAATTTTCATCTTTGCTCTTCATCGGGATGCCAATGACCAAAAGTTCAGTAGAAACGAAGGTAATGCAGCGAACCAGCTAAGGAATGCCATAGCTGTGGCAGTCTCAAACTCTGTGCAGTGATTTTGACCACAGCTACCAAGATCATTGCCGATAAGAACAGTGATGCCTGCAGAGGCACAGGCTGCTGCAAATGTAAGAGTAGATGTGACCTGCAGCGAAAAGGGCACATTTATAATGAGCTACTAGATAGAAGAGAAAGGAGATCCAGTATAATGCAGAAAATTAGGAGATGTAGAAAGGGTGAAGGAGGAAAATGCTTGCTAGCTTCCGCGGGAAGGCATATTGATATAAAGCTACAGGCTCAAGTTTGAGTCTCCCGAGTAACTTAGAAACTGTCTTCATCCCCCATTCCCATTTGCAAGCCAAAATATGAACAGGAAGACATGTAGAAAAGGGAAGATAAATAGAAAAATGAAGAGACAGTTATATTGAAGGAAATTTATTTCAAGATCAAATAAGATTTTCTCAGAGGAAAGAAAATGATGGAGAGGCTTTCTAATTAATTGCGTGAAATCTTTTAAATTTGCATTACCCGTCGAGAACAATTCTTCTAGCAAATTTTTCATGTCCAAAAACTCCAGTCAGATCACATAGGGAATCAGAGAAAAGAATCCCTAAACCAAACTACTACACGATTAAGGTCCTGCAAGGCAGTTTAATTAAAAGAATTTGAATTTAAAACCACCTCTAATTGATCAGAAATAATTGAAAAAATAATTTAGCACAGTTCTTGACAGGTCTAACTGAATCTGAACTCAACTCCAACGTGCTTTTGAGCAAACTAGTTTCAATTCTACTAGGGCTTCAATGTCTGCAATGGCTCAAGATCAGCTTTTATGACAAAGTTCTAGCCGTGAGGATAATGTCTCAGCGGATGGATCTCTCTCTCTCTCTCTCTCTCAGCAGCACTTGAAAAGAAGGTCAGAAAACCTTTTCTGCAAAGAATATCATACCACAAAGGATTTCTGGAACTATGAAAATCACACGAACACACACACTGACTTATTTGGGTGTGACATTATTATTAATTTCAATTATTACCAGACCGAAAAGATGATAATTCCAGCAGAAATCACTGTGCCTGGATCATGGCACCCCAGGTAATCTGTTTTTCTGATATCTATAGAGGACTAATGTGACATCAAACAAAGCATAGCACTCCCGTGTCAGAATCATTTAGTTTTTTCAAGAATACTAGCAGCAACTCCATGTAATCTGTTTTCCGAGAAATATCGATAAGATGATAACTCATGTCACAATAATCAAAGCATAGGGCTCAAATAAGTTAAAAAAAATTCATGTTTTGCAAAAAAACCAATAGAAAATATCTTACCCCATCACCAACAGTGAAGAAACCAACAATTTTATAATTCTGCAAACATCGTCCCACAAGAAGGGCATAAATATCAATAATGGCTAGCAAAAGGCTCCACAAGCTCTGCAAACCAGCAGCAGCAACAAGGTAGCTGGTATGACAAACATTAGTGTAACTTTCAGTAACAGGACCAATATTGAGCGCACACAAACTAAAAACAAACTATTTTACTTTGTCAAGGAGTTCAGCATATTTGGTTTCAGAACTCAGAAGCATATCATGCATATAAATTATTATCAAGGTGCATACTAAAGAAGATATTATTATGAGCCAAGATCGACTTATTTACTGACACCTATATCTGGTACTAGCCATTTTAAATTATTCAGTTTCTTGGTAGTTGCACGAAATGAACAGACGCATACATAAGGACTTGCTTTTCGGAAGTAATCCAACAGGTGTCATCCAAAGAATATATTCTGAAATTATGAAACAATTCATATGGATGGATCCTATTACAGCAGAAAGGTAACAATATACAGCTGGGTTGCTGTTTTGGGGACAAATCTTCTTGTTGACATACAAATGACAGGGATCTCTTCCACCACACAGAAAGGAATGGTCCCAAACCTCAAAAAGGCTCTAGTGCTCCACCCTCAAAATATCTTTAACTTCCTTTGCGTGGTGTTTTCCATATAAATACATCAAAAACTCTTTGATATCTATGTTTCCCCTCTGATAAGTAAAATATTATCAAAAGAATTCCAAAGTGAGATGCAACCATGTACACATGGCATATATGAAGGAACAACGCGAACAGATAAAACAACCAAGATCCCAACCAAAACTCCACCGGAAAATCAACAAAAGNCAATTCTACTAGGGCTTCAATGTCTGCAATGGCTCAAGATCAGCTTTTATGACAAAGTTCTAGCCGTGAGGATAATGTCTCAGCGGATGGATCTCTCTCTCTCTCTCTCTCTCTCTCTCTCTCAGCAGCACTTGAAAAGAAGGTCAGAAAACCTTTTCTGCAAAGAATATCATACCACAAAGGATTTCTGGAACTATGAAAATCACACGAACACACACACTGACTTATTTGGGTGTGACATTATTATTAATTTCAATTATTACCAGACCGAAAAGATGATAATTCCAGCAGAAATCACTGTGCCTGGATCATGGCACCCCAGGTAATCTGTTTTTCTGATATCTATAGAGGACTAATGTGACATCAAACAAAGCATAGCACTCACGTGTCAGAATCATTTAGTTTTTTCAAGAATACTAGCAGCAACTCCATGTAATCTGTTTTCCGAGAAATATCGATAAGATGATAACTCATGTCACAATAATCAAAGCATAGGGCTCAAATAAGTTAAAAAAAATTCATGTTTTGCAAAAAAACCAATAGAAAATATCTTACCCCATCACCAACAGTGAAGAAACCAACAATTTTATAATTCTGCAAACATCGTCCCACAAGAAGGGCATAAATATCAATAATGGCTAGCAAAAGGCTCCACAAGCTCTGCAAACCAGCAGCAGCAACAAGGTAGCTGGTATGACAAACATTAGTGTAACTTTCAGTAACAGGACCAATATTGAGCGCACACAAACTAAAAACAAACTATTTTACTTTGTCAAGGAGTTCAGCATATTTGGTTTCAGAACTCAGAAGCATATCATGCATATAAATTATTATCAAGGTGCATACTAAAGAAGATATTATTATGAGCCAAGATCGACTTATTTACTGACACCTATATCTGGTACTAGCCATTTTAAATTATTCAGTTTCTTGGTAGTTGCATGAAATGAACAGACGCATACATAAGGACTTGCTTTTCGGAAGTAATCCAACAGGTGTCATCCAAAGAATATATTCTGAAATTATGAAACAATTCATATGGATGGATCCTATTACAGCAGAAAGGTAACAATATACAGCTGGGTTGCTGTTTTGGGGACAAATCTTCTTGTTGACATACAAATGACAGGGATCTCTTCCACCACACAGAAAGGAATGGTCCCAAACCTCAAAAAGGCTCTAGTGCTCCACCCTCAAAATATCTTTAACTTCCTTTGCGTGGTGTTTTCCATATAAATACATCAAAAACTCTTTGATATCTATGTTTCCCCTCTGATAAGTAAAATATTATCAAAAGAATTCCAAAGTGAGATGCAACCATGTACACATGGCATATATGAAGGAACAACGCGAACAGATAAAACAACCAAGATCCCAACCAAAACTCCACCGGAAAATCAACAAAAGGACCTATAAACCTTGGATGGATCTCATTAAGCCTAATGAAAAGATCATTCTGACCTCTATTACGTATATACTTAAAAAGTTGTGCACTTGAATTGTCAAATACAAGTCCAATATACCTAATTCAAAAAAATAACAGAACTTTCCAAAAAAGGAAGATATCGGCAAAAATCTAGTTTACTAGAAACTTCCCCATAAGTCATAGGAACAATGGTCGAATCCATCGGGAGCCTTACTTTTGTATCAACCGATTCCCATCCAATTCCCTCTGGAGACCTCTCATGGACATAGGCGGAGGCACATTGGGTTCAGGGGGGTCCCATGCTCACCCTCAAAATTTTGTAGAAGATTATATATGCATGTTAAATATTTCTCAATTCGGTATTTTCTTGATACAAAATTATTATGCCCACTCTTTCACTTTCATGAAAACTCATTTACATGATTATAAATACTTTGCGTATAAGCTTCAAGCATCTTCGGATATATTGTGGATGACGAAGGTAACTTTTAATTACTTTGAAAAAAACTCAGAGTCCATTTTGTTACTACATAAAAATTAAGATTATTGTGTAATATAATACAAGGTCAGTTTTGTCATAAAATTGACATCATTAACATAAAATGACAAATATTTAGACGTGAAAAAACTATATATGAAAAAAAATCTTAATCTAATAAGATTATTATACCAAACAAAATTGAAAGAGTGACTAATCAAGTTTGAGACTAACATTGTGCGACCCTCCGAGAGTTGTGCCTTGCGTTTATATAAAATTTGATGAGTCTATGGCAGCCCTATCCATAATTTTTTCAGCAACTTTTGGTCCTTGTATTCACGAGTATTTTCTTTGTTTAACTTGGTTTCATTTTTCAAAATTTTTTTAGCAATATGAATTGTCAGTGGTTTGTAATTGCTGGCTTGCTACTTTTTAAATGTTTTAAATTTTTTTCGATTAACATTGATTTACATATTTATCATTTTTTTGGTTTTTTTTTAATTTAAGTGTCCAATTTCAAGCAATTAGCCTCCAATTGGAATTTATTTTTCTATAATTGGTTTCTACATAGAAAAAGTAAGAATGTATTGGTTTAGTTTTATAAATTAAAAATAATTTGTTAAAGTGGTTCTCAATTTCTGGCTCCGCCCCTGCCCATGGAAAAACTTAAATAGAATCCTAAGTTGACCGCCAGAGTGAGCATAGATGTTATGCACTCTGCAAATAGGAATATATTTTCTGAAAGATATTTCTTTTGTACTTTTATGGGTCTTCGTGATCCTTTCAATCAGTGTTGTGAAAAACTCGCCTAGGCGAGAAGCAAAGTGAGACGAGGGTGGCTAGCCTTGAACAAACAAGGCGAAACGAACATGACTAAAACGATGAAAAAGTGAGAAAACCGAGCACCTCTCGCTTGAGCGAAAAGCGAGTGCCTTAGTTAAGTTTTTAAAGAAGTTTTATTTTTTTATTATGGACCTTTAGATTGTTTGAGTTTTATTATGGACCGTTGGATTGAGGCAATTGGAACAAAATTGTGATATGTCTATACACTCAATTGCCCCCTTATCCTAATATATTTAACACTCAAACCCTAATTTTGTCTAAAGGTCAGAGGATTGCTGCTATTACTCCTTCCTTGCTGCTCCCATAGGTTTGCCCCTCCTCCTCCTTCTCTCTTCTGTTTCCCTTCTTCTTCTTCTCCATTTCTTTACTTCTTCTTTTCTATTTCTCTTCTTCTTTAATTCTTTTTTTTCTTCTTTGACAGAAAGCTTTGCATCTATTACTTCTGTCTTCTTCTTCAACAAAAAATACCACACATAGGTACTTACTTTTTCTCTCATTCTTCTCCTCTTCTTCTTCTATTTTTTTAATTCTTCTTTATCTTTTTCTTCTTTGATAGAAAATACTGGCACCTTGTTTCGTGTCCTACTTATACTGCTATTTCTATCTTCTTCTTCGACAACAGAGGTATGTTCTCTTCTCTCCGATTCTCGCCTCTCCTCTTCACTACTTCTACTGATTCTTCTTCTAGTTTTGTTTTTTTTTTTTTGTTTAAGCTTCTACTTCTCCNTCGTGTCCTACTTATACTGCTATTTCTATCTTCTTCTTCGACAACAGAGGTATGTTTTCTTCTCTCCGATTCTCGCCTCTCCTCTTCACTACTTCTACTGATTCTTCTTCTAGTTTTGTTTTTGTTTTTTTGTTTAAGCTTCTACTTCTTCTGGTTTTATTTCTCAGCTTCTGCTTCTTGCTTCTCTTTTTCTGTTTCCGCTTTTGCTACTGGTTCTGGTTTTGGTTCTGATTCTGTTTCTGCTTCTCTGCNTTTTTTTTTTTTGTTTAAGCTTCTACTTCTCCTTCTGGTTTTATTTCTCAGCTTCTGCTTCTTGCTTCTCTTTTTCTGTTTCCGCTTTTGCTACTGGTTCTGGTTTTGGTTCTGATTCTGTTTCTGCTTCTCTGCTTCTACTTTTTACTTCTCTGATGTTGATTTTGTTGATTCTGCTTTTTTTTTTTTGTAATGCTGATTTTACTTTTTTCTGCCTCTAATTTGATGTTAATTTTTTGTACTGCTTCTAATTTGATGTTGATTTTGTTGATTTTGTTGATCTCTGCTTTTGCTGATTTTCTGTAATGCTTAATTCTATTTTTTGTATTAACTTTGCTTATTTTCTATACTGCTTATTTTTGTTGATTTTGAACTGCTTATTTATGTTGATTTTGATTTTCTGTAATACTGATTTTGCTAATAGTAGTGCTAATTTTTTGAATTTAAATATTTAACCTATGGTTATCATTAAGATTTGAAATATTATTAGTGTTTGCATTTAAATATTTAATTTTTGTAAAATTAGAACTTAGATATTTAGAAGTAATTATACTAAAATATTTACCTTTTTTTTTTTAACTGCTTCGCTTTGATGAAGTGTTTCGCTTCACTTCTCACCTAGGCTTTAGGAGCCTTGGTCACTTTGGTTCACATTACGCCTTAAATAACAATGCTTTGAATTACCTATATTGTGTTCAAGTTGTGTCTATTATAATTTGAACAACTGTGCAAGGGCCCAGGCTCCAATTCTTCTCTATTATATTAGAGTCTTCTATTAAGAGAATAGCAAGAAGGTTTCTCATTTTGTTCATCTATTACTTGAATTTTTTTAACATGATCGGTTTGCCTAACAAGTAAGTTTGGATAAAAGCACCATTTTACCTGGATGAAGAAAAGATGCATACTTCAATAGTTCAACAGGGTACATATGACTTAAAAAAACATAAGCATTTGCGTACATGTAACTCACAAAGAGGATATATAGGACATACAACTTATCTGATTATATAAACTTCGTGAGTGCAAATTATATTTTGCCACCTTATACACTAGTGGATTATAAGTCCAAAATGTTAATACAAACTGTCTTCGTACTGGTAGTGAACAAATTGTATATTGAGACAACATACCAGAATATTGAAATGACACACAACATAAGTCCATTGCTAGGTATGAAAATTATGAAACTGGGGCAAAACATACGAAACAGCGCAGCAACATCCATATGTAATAGTTACCTTCCCATTTTTATATAAAATGAATCTAGCTATTTCCAAGTTAAAGTGGAAAATAAAAAACTAACATCTAAGGTGACTCATTCTCGACCAAACAATTCATGAAACAGTAAAAAGAAATACCCAAAAACTTGATTGTGTGTGCTCCTCGTAATCAAATAAAAGACATATAAGTGTAGACCAATGGTTACACATATTCTCCATGACCCAACAAAACAAAGGACCTATAATTAACAAAAATAATTGACAAATTGCACATGAGATCAACAATAGAATTTGGAAACCATGCATACACATGGATATGAATTTGTTGGCAGTAAAATTCTAAAAAGACATAAATGCGAAGTAAGTACTTTACCTGAAGGCAGTGACAGAAGGGAAGTCACTGGTGGTGGCCATGACAGAAAGGGCCACTACTGCGAACAAAAACTGAGCGAAACGCAAGATAAGGCCACCGATAGTACCAGGCATGCCTTGGATGTCCTTCATCCTCACTCTCGGAACATTCGCACCGTCGGTCATACGTGGTGGCGCTTCCACTGGGTGCACCGATGGGTGGCTCACATTCATTTCTTATTCACCACAGCCGCCCCCCACCACCACCAATTTCAACAATCGCTACTTACCTAAATTTAGTCATGCAAGTGCACATATATTGCATTAGATGTACGGATCTGTACTACTGGATCGAGACTCGATAGTTGAAAACCTAGATTTGTGTACGATTTGGTTGATGCGAGCGACTTGCAGAGTGAGACGGTGTCGTACCGGTCTACAGCGTCGTTGGGGGGGCCGAATCGGAGTTGGAATATTTTCTCAGTAGGAGTAGAGCGTTGAACAGAGGCAGGCTCATGTTAAGGGGAAATTACATTTGAATCCCTTCAATTTGGGCCGACACGCTATTTAAAGTCCATTTGGCACCTCAGAAGTTGTTCCCCACTCCTTTAATATAATAAAAAAATAATAATACTATTTAGACTTAAAATTTTAATATAATTTATTAACGTAATAATAATGTGATTTTATTAAAGTCACTAGTTTAATATCAAGTGATAATGTTTAATAAAACTCGCAGTCAATCTAACCACAACTATTAAATAGATAAAAAATCTCAATAAATATTAAGATTCGTGATTAAATCAATGGCATTGATCGATTAAGTCATTATTTTTTTTTGAAGGAATGGATGAAAATTTTTTAGGTTGCTGTGTTCCGATGTCGATATTGGCTAAGTAATTAAAATTTGTGTATTTAATTAATTATGTGTGTGTCTTTCATAAAAAATGAGGTGAAATCTCACATCCATCGTTGCAGTATGATTCTTCAGGTTGGCTGATAAGTTTTTTCTAATCCCTTCAATGCTTAGACTTTTTAGAGGTGGTGTGTGAAATTTGGCTTATTATGCTTCCTCAATTCATGATTGGGTAAGTAGTTAAAATTTATGTATTTGATTTTGTTTGTATCTTTCATAAGAAATTATACAAAATTCCACATTGTTGGTTGATAAAAACAGCACTAGATGGGCATACCCAAACAACCAGGAGAAAATGTTCAAACATAAATAATGGTGATACTGTTGAAAACAGATGAATTTAAACAAGGATGTTTAAGCAACTTAAGACTTAAATAAAAGTGAGATTCATATTTCAAAATTAGTGGGATCAAGTTTAAACGCGATTTCCTGCGCGAGGAGATGAACATCGTATATTTATTTGTTTAAAACTATTAAGTATTGAAAGAAAAATTATATCTCAAAGTGACTCATTTAAAATGATGAAATAAATAAGATAGATGTAGTGAAATAAAATTTGTCTCATAGTAGAAGAAGATCAACAATTTGGTTAGTTAATACTCCTAGTTGGCTTCATGGGTTAAATCTCAATGGGTACCACACTTCTGTGAGCAGAACGAGTGCTTATGTTACCTTAGTTACCACACACGTGTGTCGTTTGCTTCACCACGACCATGACCCAACCGGGTCAAGCTTGAGTCAAAAAAAATATAATCTTTTTCAGATAAAATTTATTTAGAACGGTACAAGTTGTTGGTCAACCCAATCGAATTCGAATATGGATCATAATTAAATTCCCAACTGAAATTTAAATCCAACTGAATTTTCAAATTTTATACCTGTTACTTTGAATTTGGTGCCAAAATTGGGTTTAATTCATTCCAAAGATTGTGTCTGTTCTCCAGAGGTGTCTTTTCCTTTTCGTTGTTGTTCAGGATTAAAGGTATATCTCTTCGATTCGAACAGGAGAGTCTTGTGCCTTTTTAGGCGATTTGAACAAAGCACGAATAATCTATAAATAGATTACTCATTGTCATTTTCAATTCATCCCAATTCTGAATTTTTATTTTAGAGAATTCCCTCTATGCATATTGCTACATTATTCTTCTTGTTCGGTTTAAGTATAAACACAGAGTTGTGTTCGCTAAAGTCTTGGAGATTGAAATGTTACATTTTCAATAATGAAATCGGTTCTATCTCGAGAGACAATTACGTATCAACCTTGAGTATCGAGATGGAGCAAATATATCTTAAGAAGATTGTAGTTACACAAGACTTAGATAATATATTCTGATTTTTTAATTTGACTGTTCATGTAGATCTACGTCACTGTAAGTAGATTGATTTTGCTTGATATATATTTTTTATTTTTGTATGATTTGAATTTAATACAATTTAATGTAATATAATTATGTACACACTTTGGATAACATATACTACATCATGGTATTCACATGAAATAACTATCTAATTTAAAAAGTACAAAATAAGTTGGTGAAATCCATAAAATTCAATAACTATCAGCCTATGTAATGCAATAACTACCTTGTACAAAAAAAAAAATGGGAGCCACTTCATCCACATTTAGTGTCTAATTGGATAATAATATCACGTGACGATTTTAATAGGATGTCACTTTTACATCAAAACATTTGCTTGGCATGAATGATTAACATAGTAAACAATTACACCATGCAAGGGTCTATCGTGAGGGCCACGGTCCCTGACCAAGGAGAAAATATTTAACGTAATTGTGATATCACATCATAATTGTTATGTTGTGTTACTATTCAATTGAAAAAATAATATAAGTGAGCAAGTAAATTACACACAATTCAATAATTATCCCTAATATAATCTAATTATCGAATAACCACCTCAAGTGAAATATTAAAATTTACTTTAACAATTTAGTTGTATTCCTACTAGGCGGTGACATTACGTAGTCGTCGTCGTTGCCTTCAATATTTACTCTAAGGCTAAGCTCGATCGAATGGCAAATAGGCTTACATTCAAGCAACATGATGTGTGATGCAGTCAATCAAATCATTGACTTATGCACAAATGCTAGTTCATAATTTCTATATAGTTCTATTGATTCACTAAAAATACCAGTTCTAAATGTATGAATTAATTTGTTAAAATCCTAAGATTAATACCATTAGCAAATTTATTGATTCATTCAAAGTTGTTTTGCCCTAAGGATAACAGGAGTTTATATAGTAGTAAAAGTTAGAAACCAACTCCGATATAAAATATCTAATAATCCTAATCAAAGTGAAAATAAAATTAATCATAACCAAATTATGAAACAAAATAACAAAAAAAAATTCGTAAATTTTCCTAATTGAACGGTATTGATTATGTTTAAAAAAATACTAAAATTATTAGTACTACATCAATGTGGCATTCCTTTGTTGGGTTGGTCACCACGTACCGGCAAAAAAATAATTTTGACATGTATATATTATGATTTTAAATAGGGTAAATTATATTTTATCTATTTTAATTATTATTCTTATTTTATTTTGTATCCTCAACTATAAAATCTTTCATATTATACCCTAAAGTATAAATTTTATTTCATATTACTCCAATTGATAACGAATGTCAAATTTTTAATAGTAAATGTACATGTGAGTGGTCCGTACTGTCTATTGCACATTTGTAGATTAAAAATAAAGAAAAATACCTATCAAAGATTTTGTCTTTCTTAGCTCCAAATTTTATTTCTCTGGCTGACCTATTTTGTCTTCGCAATAACAATTTGGTTGTCAAATAGGTAAAATGAAAAGTCTTTGGAATTTTTCTCCCTCCTTTGAAAGATTTTTAAGTTTGTCGTTATCTATTTGAGTAATATGAAATAAAATTGATACTTTAGAGTATAATGTGAGAAATTTTATAATTAAGAGTGCAAAATAAAATAAGCATAATAGTTTAGGGGGTAAAGTATAATTTTCTCTTTTAAATACCCTGCTATGACTACTATCCTCTTGTCGCGAGTGCAAGTGTGTTTGTTTTTTACTTAACCAAAAAAAAATATTAAAACACCTTTGAGTAAAAATATTTAACTTTTATTTTTTTCCCATTCAGAGTAATAGACATATGCACAATATAAGTGTATCACACGCGCACATATATGTATGCATGTGCATTATTTTTGAAAAATAATCATCAAACATAATATTACTTTTATTTTTATTTTAATTATAATTGACATTTATATAATAAAGTAACTTACAATTCAAATCTAAAAAAATAAATAAAATGATTTTTGCTTTTCGCGGTTCATATCGTTTTAAATTTTATTTTAAAATTAATCTAACGATTAATATTAACACCTTAAATTTAATAGAAAAAAAGACCCCTAAAGTGTGTTTGAAATTATTTTTTAAAAGCACTTATAAGAATTATTTCTTATGAGTACTTTAAAAAAAGTTGTGTTTTAAACCGTCTCACCACTACTATCACCGCTGCCGTCACCACCCTCGTTGCTGTCGCCACCACCATCGTTGTCACTGCCACCATCACCGTTATTGCCACCGTCGTCGTCGCCACCGCCACCACCATCACCACCCACCACAACTATCACCGTCTACTACCACCATTGCCACCCACCATCTCTTATTCTTACTACAATTGATGCTTAAATTTATTAATTTCTCCTTTATATTTGTGATTTGATTTTGGATATGAATACAAATATGTTTATTGTTTATAATTTTTTATTACTCTGTGCCTTCACGCACATGTAATAACTAGTAATTTTATAGAGTACAATAAAAAAAATAAAATTCACGTGGCAATCCCAAATAATTGGGATAAAGAGTTTTACCAACTGAGTTTATATTTTTATAAAAATACTTTAATGCTCTGTTTGGTACGATGAAAAAGTTGGAGAATGGAAAGTTAGAATAATGGAAAGTTAGAGGGATAAATAAAACATCATATTTGGTAAGGAAAGAAAATAGGAAGGATGGACAAGTGGATGAATTAACTTTCATTTCAACTCACAAAAATCAATCCCTACACAATCAGAAGGAAAGTGGATAAAAAATTAATTATTTGTGTTGAGATGTATCTTATTTGTCTACTAGTTATTACTTGTGCCTGAAGGCACATAGTAATAAAAAATGATAAATAATAAACATATTTATATTTATATTTAAAATTAAATCACAAATATAGAACAGAGATAAATAAATTTAAACATCGATTGTAGTAAGGGTGAAAGGTGGTGGTGGTACAAAACGATGATGGTTGTGATGAGTGGCAATAT